GATTTTTGCTGGTCATTCTTGTCAACAATTTTTCATACACATACACATAATTCATCTCAAGACATCGAATGCATGACGAATTATTTATTCATGATACCATTATTGTGATACTTAAAAAAAAATAAATTTTTTTCTTTTTTAAATAATTTTCCATTATATTAATACATAAGATATCAATCCTTCTGCGTCATGTTCTATACACTTGATATAATATTATTAAGTCACTTTAGTCATTATAAATACGATAGTTATTATCATATAAATATGAATTATGAGTTGTGATGTATTATATATGTAACATAAATTAACCTATAAATAAAAGCATTACTCAAGTTATGCAATAATACTTATTATTATTAAAATATTTATATTTATACATTTATACATATTAATAAGAGCTGCAAAAAATTATTTCCATGTGTCCTAAAAAAATAATATTTAAAAAAATTTTTTTTTATGCATTCATGTGTATTTTTTTAGTTGTTACTTATTAACTTAATAAAATAATTAAAGTAAATAAAAGTAGATGGTTTTTTAGTCTAGTCCTGTTACTGGTTGTGAGCTACGAGTGTTCGTTTGATCTTGCTGTTGATGACGGTTGACGTACGACGATAAATCGACGTCAGTTAAATGCCAACGGGGCACTTTTACTCACCAGAAATATGATGTAGTGTCGTTAACACGTCTGTTAAACAAACATTTTTTTACTTTTTTGATATTAAGCTAAATTTAAAAACTTTAATTTTTTCTTTTGTAAAAGTTTATTTAAATAATTTTATGTGCAATTATAAATAATGAAATATTTTTTTAAAATGTCAAATATTAAACAGTTAGACTCTACAAAATATTAATTTAATTTTTTTTTTAATAATTATTTTTTTATATTCAATTATTTTCCTCTGATTTCTTTTACTAATTTTTTAAAATTAATGATGAAGATAAAATTAACAAACAACTTATATTAATTTAAAACATATCTCAATAATTTATTAAATGTTTGAAAAATTCTACAATAAAAGCTTTTAATAGTTAAAAAGTTCAAATGAATACAATAAATAATTTTACAAATAATTAAAAATTTTTATTGGCAAAATATTGTTTTTAATTTCTACTAAAAAATATAAAAATAACCAAATTTTTTATTAATTAATTAAAAAAAAAAAGTAGTGTACGTTTATGTGTATGAAAATAATAGTCTTCCAATAATAAAATAAATAATAAGGCAATCAGAGTATCGGGTATGTAGATAATGGTGTCTAAAGAAGTTATTTGAACTCGTGGGTGGCTCGATTGATGTGTCCTGAGGGCGAGCGAGTATAATTCAGTCGGTAAGGGATGTGACCCTCTCCCATTCCATCGATGTATGTGAACAACCAGACACTTTAATGACCTTTAACGATCATCAATTAGTTTCTAGTGGCAGTAATGATATCAGCTTTGTGTTACACCACCGCTGACCAGTCGCTCGACTACGTCGTTCGAATTAAGACCATCGGGTTGTCATTTCGGTGTTGGGTGATCATTAGCCTGGTTAAATTCTTCGGCTTGGCCATCCTCCTCCAACAGTACAATCCTATAATTGAGAATTATTCAGTGACCTAATGACATTTTTCTCCACGTAATACCGACATTAATTCAGTCTATAATTATCTCGTAAATAAATTAAAAATAATAAAAGACATTTTGGTAATAATTATTATTATGACTATTGTAAATTATGAATATCATGATAATTTTTATTTAAAATTTTTTTATTTTTTGTCTCTTTTAATTATTACATTATTTTCATGAAATTGTTAAAAATATTTTCAAATCTGGCAGGATTATATTGTTGATTTATTATATGTAATACATATATTTTTTTTGGTATGTTATACAAGTGATTCTTGGTATTGAAGCTCTAATCCAAAGTAAACTTCAAGTGCAACCATCAGGCATCAGGCATCGGATACTTCTGACATTAGCTGTTGACTGTTGGCTTCTTTATACAAATTTGGTCTGTGATGGTTTGGAGCCGCCTACTCATATTATCCCTTAGCAGGAACCATGCTCTTGGTCTTCCGTCCTTACTCTATCCAAATCCAAATATATAATATAATACTAACACTTACTGTTTAGTTAATACAACATAAGTAGGCCTATACAAACTCATCTCAATTCTCGAGTAACATAAGTATATACAAGCAAACTTGAGATTTTGAAGGGTGGCACTTTGGTAACAAGACGCGCGTGCCAGACTCGTTTCTGTTTGCTCAACTTGTGTCAGTTAAGTTTTGATGAATTTTTCTTTTCTCATTTTTACTGTTCAAAGAGCTAAGTCGATGACTGTATTTATTTATAATGCAAATTATTGGTGTACAAAATATACTTTGAATAAATAAATCAAATTGAGAAGTTACATATTTTAGATTGCGTATCAACCAGATGTTGTCTTTTAAAATTAATTTATTGTAATTTTTATTTTTGTAAATGATAGGGCTTGAAACTTGGGTCAATAAACTTTTATTTGAATTTATGTTAATTATTTAAATTTTAATATGATTTGTTTTTTATAGAGATTATTTTTAACAATTATTTCTATTACATATTTTGAATTTATAATTTTTATTATGGAAAATATGAAATTAATTTTTTATTAATTGTCTCAATTTTTATGAAAAATTTGAATGGTGCTTTTTATAAAATAAAAGAATATAAATTATAAAAGTTTAATATTTTTTAGTAGCTCTTTGTAACTTTTGAAAAATTTAATAAACTTATATAATATGTAATTATATTTTTATATTATTTAATTAAATTCTGAACAGTAATTTTATTAAATAAAATTTATAAATTACTCGAAATAAGAAATTAAAAATAATGAACATTAGAAACTTTTTTTCAATAATAAATTTTTTTTGACAAAAAAAAAAGTAAACATTAGGCTATTTTTGTTAAAAAATATAACTTAATGACATATTAAAACTAAACAGGCATTTTTTGTGTCTAAATTGAAACAAAGGGGTTGTTTAACCGTACATCCTGTACCATCTACTTCGGAGGTTTATACCTACATATTTAGCTACAGTTAATTTTTTAACATCAAAACTCAAACAACAAAAAAACAAAAGGGTTGACATAATGATACCCTGAACGTAAATTAAATTAAATTCACTTTAAAAACTTTTCATATGGTCTGACTATTGTAATAAAGGAAAGGAAATTTTTTTTGAGCATTTAATTTCATAATAATTTAATGTCATGGTATGCTTTTCAATATAAAGGTAATAAATAAGGATCACTTCTGACGCTTGTATCCGGCACGCAGATTATCTGGGTCACTCGGCTGGCATAAGGAAACACGTTAACGTTCAAGAAAAAAAAAAGAGTTCTTAGTTTTTAATTTTTTTACTTTGTCCGCTAGCCGCGGAACAGCTACGAGTGATACAGATACAGCTTGTGATACTAGATTTTTGAGTAATAAAGCTGCAGTGTTGTTACACAAGTGGGAGTGGGATATTTAGATGTGGGAGGGAGAAAGAGACGGGAAACGTGTAAAAGAGGGAAGTTAATAAAAAAGGCATGCGTCGGTACGACTTTGGTAAAATGAGAGCTAAGTATCAGAGAGTATGTGGGATTAGTATGAGTACATGTACATAAGGATGTGGGAGAAGTCATCTGAGTGTCACAGGGTTTGTTAACTACACCCAAGGGTCTTTCATCATCGTTCATCGTGTGGCGATCCTGCGGTACACTTGTACGCTTTGTCACACGCCGACGTCACACATACGTACTGATACATTCAAATGAATTTACACTAAATCCTCATGATTTCATGATATACATAACACAGACAGCCTTGAATAGGATCCATAACACAAGTAATCGCCACCCACGTCTTTTTAGTCTTACTCATTCATTCGTATCTTGTATATCTATCGTTAACTTTTAAAGTCTTTCTGCGGTACTAGTTAGTGGTTGTGATTGTCACTTTTTATGTATTTAGAGTTTTTTATGGCTAGATATTTTTAATGAGTGCTTTTATTTTTACGATACACATTTTTAAATTATTTTCAGTTAATTCTTTTATTAACTGTTGACTTTAATATACTTTTTTCCAAGATTTTTGTGTTTTATTTATTTAATATTACTTGTTAGAATTAAATTAATTATTTTAAAATGTTATATAATTATATTTTTTTTAATACAAATAAAATTAATTATATTAGGATAATTTTAAAAATAATTTTTAAATAATTTCATTGTGATCAAAGTTTTTATTTTGAATTTTTGAAGCATCAAAAATTTATTGATTAGTATTAAATAATTATAATTTTAAAAAAATAAATTTTTTTATTATTTTCTGATTATTATAATTTTTCAAAAAATTTACTTATTATAAAAATTTTTATTTCAGAGTTTAAAATTTTTAATAAATTATGAGTAACTTTTTTTTTTTAAATAAATTTTTAACTTATTTTTTATCATTAAAATTTTTAAATAATTTACTAACAATTAAAATTTTTTTAAATTATTAAAACACTAAAAAAATTTTTTATTAATTTATCTTGACTTGATTAAAAAAAAAAAAATTACTATTACTATTATTTAAGTATAAAAAAATTAATGTATATTAAATGAATTTATGATAAATTACGTTAGATTTGAAAGTGTGAGAATTAACAGAAGCAGAAAGAAATAACGAAACAATAAAGTCTTTATTTTAGACAAGAAAAAATAAAAAAAAATAATAAGAAGTGAATAAAGAGGTGGTAGATGATTTAAAACCGTGAGGGGTAATAACATCAGGAGTGCGATGCGAAAACGACAGACTCACAGCTCTTTTATATTAGTCGTAGACTGATGTGTGATATACATATATATATATATATTTATATACAAGTATAAGACCAACAGTGGCTGGTACGAGGTACGATGGGGCTCCAAATTGAATAACAAACGTGTTCACCCTCCTCAGTTAAATCACCGAATGGGCACCCCGTCTAGCGAGCTGCTCGACATTAACCGCACCCCCCGCGAGTCGTTGCGGCGATCCCCAAGCCAAAATCAACTCCTGCTCCTGCTCCTGCTCCGGTCGTTGCTTTGCATAATGATCTTACTCCGCAATCTCTGGCATATTGATCCTCGGAAGAAAACATTCGTACCCGTGACGTGAAATCTGCTAGAACCTTTCTCTAAATTCCTAAATAAAGAAAATTCCTAAATGATTTCAAACTTAAAAAAATTATAATTATTAACTTAATAATTAAATAAATAAATAAATAATGATAATAATAATAATGAAAACTTTAATAAAAATTAATTATAACTATTTATATTAATATTTATGTTTAACGTTTGCTAATAAAATTAATGGCTGTGAAAAATATTATTTATTGCGGAAGTGGTGTGTAAATGTTCTCGAGATGCAATGTAGATATAAATATATAAGTATATATTTACATGTGGGATTTTAGGAGCATCGGAACGTGTCAGGAAGCTTTTGAGCTGAGAGAAGATCAGAAAAATAAAGTATTAAATGAGAACAAGAGAGTCGTAGTGCTAAGAACTAAGAGCCGAGTCATCCCCGCTAATAATCTTCAGTTAGATACTTAGGTTTTTTAGTACAAGCTTTACTTGGCCCGTTATCATCACCATCATCAGCATTAACATCAACATATAATCGAAATCTAATAGACGAAATGATTAGTAAGACCAATAGAATCGAGTCACCGTGACTGACTATTTTAAAGCCAATGAATTTTTTTTTTTTACTCTCTTTTTGTCCTGAACTAAATTAATTGAAGTTCCAAAAATAAACTATTTTGTTCTTTTTTTTTTTTAACTCTATTGAAAAATTTTATACAGGAAAATACAGACTATTTTTCTTTTTAATAAATTTGTTTTTTACAAAAATATTTATAAGAAATTTTTATATTTTCTCGCATAAAAATGTTTTGTTAAAAATAAATTGTAAATGGAAGGTGCTTTTTATATCCTCAAGCTTTTAGCGGGTTTTAGAGACTAGAGTAATTTTGATATTAAAAGTTTTTAGTGACAACTAAAGAGATGCCATCACCGTAAGTTAAGCGGCGTGATATCCCAGTGGATGGAAGAGAAAAAGAATAGTGTGAGGGTAAATTGAAAGGGGAGACAAGTTGCATCATGGGAAATGAAAGGGGGCTTATATATATGTTATGATGGGACATTTCATGGCTCGTAGAGTTTGGAAGCTAACGGGCCATGTGATATTAACCACAGCAAAAGCTCCCCTCGAAGTTTAGTTTTATTTCTTTCCCACTTATTTATTTTATTTGCTTTTTATGTTTATTGTTCGCCCGCGAGCTTGTTGTTTGATTTTATACCAATGTGTGTTTGTAAAAGCTTGTACAGTAAGAAAGAAAGAAAGAAAGATTTATTAATATAAATGCATCTACGAGTTCCGGAAAAATTAAGGGATTAATGTACATGATGATGGGAAACACGTGATCAAAATAATGATAAAAGCTCGATTCGTACTCACAAAAAGCATCATTTATTTTGTTTTTTTTTTTTTTATCTCTCTCAAATGAATTTTCATAATCATCTATAATACTTGAATAATAATTCATTAATAATAATAATAATTAATAATTCATAATAATAGTTAACTAATAATAATAATTATTCAATTAATTAATTAATTAGTAATAAGAATTATGGTAAAGTAATTTGATAGTAATAATAATAATAATAATATTTAGATAGTTTAGATTTATATACGGGTGGGCGTGATATGAAGCTCCATCCGAGTACAATTCCACGTTAATTTGAAATATTACAACAACGGGGAGTCTAATACGAAACAAAGATTCGTCTAACAGAAAATAACTCTTAAAACCGTCCACCCGGTCGAGAGCCCATCTGCGATTGGCCCTCGACGCGTTATATATTTATATACTTTGTTTGTATTTATATTTATATTTATATTACATACATATATATTTATATATAGGTCGATAATTAATTATACATTCGCGTCGAATCGACCGAACACGTAAACTATAATATCGACAATGACAATTATTGTACAACTAATAATGTATGTACGTGTATTAATTAAATATACGCAATATATATGTATTTAATATTTAGAATTTAATTTTAAAACTTTTCTAATAATCGTGTGTCTTTATACAATATTATATCACTATAAATATAATATCATTTAATATCTCACGCGCTATGTATAATATTTACAATTAGAACAATAAATTTAATAATTAATTAATTAATTAATAAACAAAGACGAGTGCATTGGGACGTGCCAGCAATGGCGATAAGTATTCTGTGATTAAAGTGCGTTATTATTATCATTATTATCATTAATATTAATATTAATATCAATCATATATTTATATATAATAAGAGTTGTGTATAGGGGGAGGGATTTAGATATTATGTACAGGTGCAGGAGATGCAGGGGAGGGGGTCTGAGGAGTGCCAGGATTCTGAGTAAGAGTGTAAGAGTTTTGACGTTGTTGTTGTTGTTGTTGTTGTTGTTGTTGTTGCTGTTGTTGGTAGTGATTGTGTCGTTGTTGTTGTTGTTGTTGCTGTTGCTGTTGCTGTTGTTGTTGTTGTTGTTGTTGTTGCTGTTGTTGCAAGTGGTGTTGATTGATTTGGTGATGTGTAAGGACATTGACAGTGTGGTGTTGCTGGTGCATGAGGTTCAGGTTGAGTGGGTAGGATAGTGGGGAGCCCAGGGCCGCTGTGGTACCGTTATTGCAGGAACCGGGTCCGGGCCCCACCGGGCTCAGTGCATGCTCATCCCCGCGTGCGGATGATGATGCGCTGCCGCTGTTACAGAGGTTGCGTGATGATGAGGATGATGCATTAGTGGCGGGAGATGGGGGTGGTGAGGATGGTGAGGGGTCAAGGGGGGAGGTGTCATCTGCATTGGGGTCATGGGAGTTGTTGGCTGTTGGAGACCGGTGGTGGTCTGGGAGGTGCCGTTGGCGTCCTGACCCACCTGAGGGCCCACTACCACCGCCAGGGCCTGCTGCTGCTGAGGCTGCTGCGGAGCCTGGTGCTGACCCTGCTGCTGACCCTGGACAACCTGACCCGGCACCCCCTGGGCCACCACCGAGGTGGAGCTGCTGCTGTTGGAAGTGGGACTCTGCTGGCTCCCGTTGTCCTCGCTGTCTGAGCAGGACTCGGCTGAGGAGCTCCCCGCTCCCCCCTTGCCCTTGCTGCCGCTGCTGCTGCTGCTGCTGCTGTGGGTCTTGACGTGCTTCGCGAGATGGTCGCTGCGCATGAACCGCTTGTTGCAGACCGGGCAGGCGAATCTCTTTTCTCCGGTGTGGGTTCGAAGGTGCCGCTGCAACTCATCCGAACGTGTGAACCGCTTGCCACAGAAAAGCCAGTTGCAAACAAACGGTCGCTCACCAGTGTGCCACCGCAAGTGGGCCTTCAGATGTGACGTCTTCCCGTAGACCTTCCCGCATCCGGGAATATGACAGCTGTGGATGTTCTTCTTCCGGAGGTGGACACCGGCGGGACCGAGTCGCTCCGCTTCTTGGCAGTTCGGGCAGTCGCAGGTCGCCCGCCCGGTGTATCGTCGCTGGGATCGAGGTGAGGGCGCTTGAGTTACCACCCCAGTAGCACCTTGAGGGCTGCCAGCTCCTCCGGCTCCGGAACTCGCCGCATGGTGTGCGTGGAGCCCAAAACCAGGAGGTCCGCCGGGTAGCATTGACTTGTACGTGTCTTGGAGCAGGTTGTGGCTGGCTGTAGTAGCTGAGCTCAGCAAGTGGTTCCCAGCCAGGGCCAGACTGGTTGAGTAGTCCGCCGAGTAGTTCGCCATCTGAGCGTGAACGCCAACGGTACCGCTTACGTCGAGCCAACCTCCAGTAGCGGCACCGTGGACGTCCCACCACCCGTCGCTGGCTTTTATGCCACCGTGGGTGGCCCCGGTCATCGTGTTGAACGGCCAAGACTCGTAAGGGTGTCTGCCGTAGACCGAGCTAAGGGTCGCGCCCTCGACCTTGCCCAAAAGACTGCTCTGGTGGTGGTGCGGGTCACTGGCTGGTTGGACTGACGCCGTGCCCGGAAAGTACATGTCGCTACCATACTGGGGCGCGGTGGATGCACAAGAGGTTACTGGTGCTCTTGCGTACCCACCACCTCCACCTCCTCCGCCGGTGCTTCCCGCGCTGCTGGTCGCTGTTGGCCTTTGAGTGACCCCTGTGGTGGTGCAGCCACCGCCTCCGGTGTGCTGTGGTGAACTCCCGCTGCTCTGCGGGCTCTTTTTCCATGGATGAAAACCTTTCCCCACTGCGGCATCCGCCAAAGGCGGAGGGCTCTTATTGCTCAATTTGTTACATTGTGCAGCGAGCATCGCCAGTGGGGTACCGCGTAGCCCGGGATGTTCCTGTAACATCAGAAATTATATTTAGATTAGTATACATTTGTATTGATTTTCTGGTTATGGTTTTATGGTTATAGTTATGGTTGTATCCTTTATTTTCGATACTGATCCTAATTTAAAGTTATTCAACATCCGTGACCAAGAATGAGGTTAATATCAAAACCGGTAAAACTACCATAGATCCGTTATCCGTAATCACGTCGTCTAAATTGTCGATCTTTAAATAAGTTTTCGCTTCCGTTCTGTCGGGCTCGGTTGTTACCGTATAGTTTAAAAAAGTTTGTAAAAGCTAAACAGAGGAAAAAACATATTAAAACAAGTGCAACGAGCCAAAAAAAAATCAAACTCGGCTTAATGACACTAAATTGATGTACAAGGTATAGGCTCTACTATAGCGGAGACCGACTAGCTTTTATATGTTGGTCTAGTTCTTGGAAATTTACTGAAAAGTAATGATGTGTAGAACACTCGGCTACGGGCAATTCAATCTCGACTTTTATGTTAATTCAACTGAGCTTAACATTTCCGAAAAATACTAATCATAAAAGCAAAGTAGACAGCTCCATTAAGTAATACATTTTTCATCCTCATAAAACCCCTAAACTATTATCAAAATAGAGGGTTTCAAAAAACCGAATAATAATTTCGTTAAATTTTTTATATTTACGTAATCATAATTATATCTACATGCTGATAGTAAAAGTATAGTACAGTAATAATAATAATTAGAGCCAATCAGAAGACAGCAAAAACGACTGAGATAGAAATGAGGAACGGATGGCAACCGAGAGAAACTATTATGTATACGAAGAAGGAATTACGAATAAGTTAAAGCCCACCATCCCGCAGACTACGGCTACGACTACGACTACGACAGTTTCGAGGTAATGAGGCCGGAGGCAAATCGAGCGGTCTCATCAAGCCCAGTTTCATGCAAATCATTCGACTGGTGATTCTGTTCTCTTATTCTCTCTGGCTTCTGGACTAGCTGCTTGCTCGTTTGGTCCAGTGGAAACATTACGGGGGCGAGGCGAGGTTGTCAGCTACTACACCGACTACTATACTCCACCAGAAGTAAAACGAACCGACAACCTAGCAGACTGATTAGAGCAACCGAGAACGAGCCCTAGCCGTAAAAAGCTGGATGACCCGAACCCGGTGGTGCTGGTTTGTTAAAACGAACGAGGTTCGTCAGAGCAAAGGGAGTGAAGATACCTTTGCCTTCACCTTTCGAACAGAGCAGAAACCAGAAAGGCACTGTAGAAAACCAAAGCCAAAGCCAAAAGGTCCGCGCGGAAGCGGCAGGAAATTAAAGTCTGGCGGCCCGCGGCCATTAGTAGCCGGCGCCATCGAGGCGACACGCCCCCCACGCGGTTCCAAGCATCTACACCAACACAGTCAACTCACACACGGCAAGTTACCTTCGGACACTCTCATCATCATGTAAACCCACAACCCCGACCAACTTGAGAATGGTACAAACGAAATGAGGTTACAAAAAGCATCAGCTCTTCATCATCATCTCATCTTCCATTCACCAGTTTTTATAATTTGTTTTATATGTTATGTCATTTATCACAAAAAACTACAGATATAATTTTCGTTTTGTTTAGATTTATTTATTTTTTCTGTTTATAATAAAAAACCTTTGGAGCAACTTGTTCTATTTTTTTCAATCAATGGTTATAACTATCAAAATATTTAAGAGTTTTCAATTAAGAGGATCTTTTAGTTAAAAAATTTTTTTGCTACGTAATAAACTCTCTAGATCTTTAAAAGCTCAAAAAGTATAACAAGATTCCATTTGGAATTTTTTTATCATCATTTTATTTCAATATAATTTGATGACATAAAGTCGATCGAAACACTAAAAAGGACTTTATAGGGATCAAGTTTCTTTGTTCAAGCATATATAAAATAAAAGTATATATGCATTACACACGGCAAAAGTAAGCTAGCACATAATACATAGTACATATAGAGGATAGAGGATAGTATATAACAGTGACTCCGGTCTGGCTTTGAATGACTAGACGTAAAGACAGAAAGTCACCCCATTGGGGTTGACGATTGAGGCAAGAGGGTGAAACACCGATGAGGATAGGAAAGCACACACGGCGTTGAACGTATCTCCGCTGATGGTGCACGGGACCACGCCCTCTTCAAGCTCGGTCGTAGGTTATAGGTAGGGTAGGTATTGATCCAGTGAAACTACTACAATACGACGTGCCCTCCGGAGACAACGACATCTCTCAATTAGCCATCGAGGAGCTAGATCCACCCCCGAGGACCAGGACACATTCCCCGACTTTGAACCCATCCTATCCCGGATTGTTCGATTCTGATGCATGAATACCACAAAGAGAGGAGCCGATAGACAACGCGGCTAATAAATCCAGTCAATGCTAGCTACTCCACGATATTATGAATAATTGCCTCCAGATCCGTCTCCCTCAGTGATTTCGAAGCTCACTACTACTCGACTAGTAGTTTAGATCATTCAGGATTGCTTTACAACAAGTCAAATGTCAAATGCGTTAACAAAGCTGTTGATATTGATTGTTAATCAATTTGCCAGGTAGTATCAAGTTTTGTGCGTTAATTGTAGATGTGCTGAAAAAAAATAATTCTTGAAGAACCAGAAACCCGTTGTTCTTTGTTCCGGTAGTAGTAGCAGCAGTTAATAGTTTGCTGGTATTACATGTGCAAAAGTAGTATATAAGTTATAGACTACTAGTCGCCGTTAACATAATATAACTTGGATTATTTAATTCACAAGTTAACTCTCTGCGCGGTTGCTTGAGTATTCCACTCATACTGGCTTATCTCTTTGATGGCTGATGAGAACGTCAATTATCAAAACAATGTAATATTTACAACTGAGCCTCTGCGGCATAGTAATTGCTTACGCACGCGATATTTTCTCATTAAAGACTTTCACTTTCTTGGAAGTTGAGCCTAACATCGTGTTTTTGATGAAAATTCAGCTTTTCTTCTTACTTTTTGACTTTCAACCATGAAGGTCGGCAATTAGTAGGCTGCTAATTTATAAAATGAAGTTGTTACTACGTCATCAGAGTAGCGAAGCCGGCAAATCAGTACATTCAATGAATAAGAGCAAACTAATCCACGAACGGTGTTTGAGTTAGAGGCTTAATTAATGCTAAAAATATGTAAATGGATTAGATAATTATAAATCAGTTGTCGGCAGGTTGTAAAGACGGCTAATGCTGGAAAACGTGCCGACTGGACTCTTTTGTCTCAGCATGGCATTTACCAGTGCCGTAACAGTATTATATCTGGTATAGAGGCCCGTATGACGTCATGGGCATCATAGAGACCGACTAGGACTAATAATAACGCCTGGGGGCGATGCTGAGCATAAATTAAAACCAGAAAACTGTTTTCTGTCTTCGTTTCTCCTAGATACATCACACTTAGCATCTATCTGCCTTCTGAGAAACCCACCGACCACGAGATATACTAGCATCCAGCGGATACGGTTAAAGACCGGCATAACGCAGTGCTTTTTTAGCCAGCCTAGAGTTTGCTAGCCTAGGCCTAGGCCCATCAAACCACAAACCTTCCAACCCAAAGAATTAGTCAATTAATAATACCATCTTTTTACTTGTCTCATTATCTAACCAAACGTTTTCTTCATTTCTATTTTAATTTTTAAATTCACTCCTAAACTTTATTATTATTATTTAATATTAATTATTAATGAAATTTTATGTGATATCGTTGCTCTTTTAATCAATGCCGCAACCACACCATGTTTTTTACTACTCACGCGACTTTTCCCATCAGCTATCGAACCAACAAAATGGTATCCACGATAACGTCGTTAAACTGATGCTAAGTTCAGAAAAAAAAAAAAAAAACATCTTCCTTATCTTTGTGGCATTGATTCAGGCATAACTAAAAGGTCATATCAGTATGATAAAAAATTTAATTTCTTTTATATCCTTTTCGATTGTTTTCTTCAGTAATTTAACCGGTAACGAATTCCAGAAAATACTTGTGTTGTATTAGTATTACTGCAGCAGTAAATGTCTATGATTATGAATGTAATTGAAATAGTAATAAAAAAGACAGGATAAAGTGTTGGCGTCAGTGGGCAAACGTCGGGTTACCACAAACACGTAAAGTGACAGCTGGTGATGAAAATAAGTATGTATAAAATACAAGTGTGATGGAGAAATAGTATCAGCAGCTATACTATCCAGTAATGTCGAGTATTATAGCTGGTATAGTTTTATACAGTGTGGTATAGTTCATTTAAGTACTCTTGACTGCCTTTACTTTATTTGATAGAATATACTCGACACGACTGACAGCTCGACGGACAGAGTGTGAGGGTGCGAACAAGGTGAAAAACCAAAGGGTGAGTTTAGTAAAACCCTGGTGATAGGTTGCTGTTGTGGCGAACCACAGCTGACATTTCTTTCTTATAAATATATTATTTATATATTTTTTTATCACTAGCAATAGTACTGGTATAGAGAAAAGTTAACAGTAAGCTCTACTGTCCGTTTCAAGTTGCTTGACTTAATATGTATTTTTTGATGCTCATATTATAGTATATATTTATTATTTTATTAAATTGTGATAAAGCCAGCGCAGAGCCAACATGCACTTGAATATTCTATTACACAGGTTTTGATAAAAGCAGCGTTCGTGTTGTGTGTTGTGTGCTCAGTGTGATGTAAAAGAGTCCAGAGTGTAGAGTGGAGTAGATAGAATTTATAATATACACGCTATGTCCACAAGTCGTCACACCCTTTCGCTTGTATCTTAATAACGCTAATGCGAGTCTTGCGAGTCTACAAAAGGACGCGCTCCGCTGCAAATTGATCTCGATGAACACGCCGTACACCGTACAACGTACCACAGACCTGTAGTATATATCATATACGCTCAAAGAATTATAAAAATAACAAAAACAACTAAACGCGTAGCAAGAGGATGGAAGAATGTTTTATGGGCTACAGAAATTAGCTGTACAGTGCGCTGTATTTTTCTCGGTTCGGGGATTAAAAAAATAGATGGACTGGCGGAGATGTGGATGATGAAGGAGAGGTAACTGAGGAGCAAGAGGAGATTGAGGAAGTTATAACGCGAGGAGGAGGAGGAGGGGGAGGAGAGAAAAAGATAAAGGAATCGAAGCACCTGCTGTAGAATTTTGCTGGGTGAGCTTTTGATTGGATTCACCTGCGCCGTTACGAATCCACAAGTCAATTGTGATGCGATACCAAAACTAAAGAGATTAGGTGATTTTTTTATTCAATTTTGATGCTAAACATTGCAAGAATATCTAGTCCATCTTTTTGTTAGTCCTTTACAGTTTTGATTTTTGTCAATTTGCAAAAGTTATTCTAACAATTGTCAATATAAATAAATGAATTTAATTAGAAAAAATTTTAAACGAAGAAAATTATTTTAAAGAAAGATTTTTTTAATCAAACCGAAAATTTTTCTCGGTTCAAAATTTCTTCAAAATAATTTCTTTGATTAAAGATTTTTTTTCTTGGATCAAGTTAATTTTTTTTATCTGTGCAGTAAATACAAAATTACTTTAACTTAAAAAAGAATCTCATTAATATTAAATACTTGAGTAGAGATGTTTAAAACATAACAATATTTTTCCTGATTAACTGATAAAATTAATGTGGGTAATTTTAATGCTAATTATTTGTTTTATGTGCGCATTTAGTTTATTTGCACATTCGCATGCATAAGCATCGATAAAATCCGAGCGACTTGCTTGAGATTTTCTTATAAATAAAATTCTTTCCCATCTTCTTCTTTAGAGTCTATTTTTTGCTTTTTATTTTACTTGCTTTTGCGTTTTACTTTCTTTCGTGAAAGATAATTGCCAGAGTAGAGCGATTGCAGTATATATACCGTATATACGGCATGGACTCGTCCTTAGCAACCGTCGCTCAACATTAATGACTTTGGCGAGGATGTCGAGCAACCAGGCAAGGTTGTAAAGTGCTTACTTAGATACACATC